TGACTGTTTGTCCTGCGTCAGAGCCCTCCATGGCCGAGTACACTTGATTTCAGTGCAGACCGCATCACCAGCACCAAACTCAACCCGGCACTGTGCCTCTTCGCCATTGCTCAGAAAGCAGCAGAGCCCCTCGGCGCCCAAGAACAGAGGGCCTATGGGCAAAGAACCTGTGTCAGGCCATGTATCTGTTTTAGGCCTTCACGGTGGGATCGCTACAGTAAGACCCCCAAGCCAGGCCAGGGACTTATCCCCCACCCCGGGCAGGGCTCCAGGGCCTAGAATGGGGCCTTCAGTGCCCTAAGTGGTTTTGGTGGCTAAAGTGCAAAGCTGACGGGCTTCACAGGTGCCATGCCGGAGAGAGAGGGGGCTCCATCCTTGGCACTATAAAGCAAGTCCATTGGGGTGCAGCAGCAGAGACTGGCAGATCTCTCTCACTGTGACTTCAGACCCTAGCACAGCACCCCAGCTTGCTAGCCAAAAGGCTTAGGTCCCCGATGAGATTCCTGCCTAGTACGTGCAGAAACCCTGATTCGAGTCACTATTCCTTTCACTGCTGGTACGGAGGAGCATCCAACTCCAAGTCGCCTAGGTTACAGCTTGAGAGTCACCTAAAGTTGAACTAACATGAGCAAGCATTTGAAGAAGAAGAAACGGTTCCCTACCTTTTTGTAACTGTTTTTCTTCGGGATGTGTTGCTCATGTCCATTTTCCCACTTTCCTATCCTACTGTCAGAATTGCCAACAAGAAGGAACCTGGAGAGTGCAGGGCCAGCCGCCACCACCAGAGTGTGCCACATGTGGCCCTACGGATACCTCTCATGACAGGAGGGTGCACACCCACCTAAAATGGAATGGATGTTTCTTTGGGGTTTAGTAAAAAGCATAGCTTCTCTCAGGTAGAGCAAATGCTAAATTAAAACAAAAGGGTTTCGTGGAGCCAACAGTCTCTGTGGGAATAACAAATTTGCACGTCTTCCATTCCCATGAGTAAACTGAGCTTACTAGTTAATTGGAAATTACAAGTGATAGAGAAGAGTTTTTAAAAATTGCACCACAGATCCAATCCCAGCCGAACTTTGTTTTTTACTACAGTTACTTTGATATTGGTTGTGACCTCAAGGTATTTTTTTAGCATCTTAAGACTATTAAAACTGACGGTCAGTCCAGCTGACCACTCGGCCTATTTGGAACACTGGCATTGTCTGTCGGAACAATAACTCTCCTTTATGCATGAGGTGGAACGTTCTCAGGGCTCATCCAAGGCTGTGGAATTTTCCATCTCTGTAAGAATTCAGAGCAATTTCAAACCTCGTCATCTTCCAATTCAAATGTAGCCTCACTTCTTCAACATGACCGTCACAAATAATAACATATAGCACACCAGACCTTCTGACTTTTATGTTTAGTCTCATGCACTTTCCCCCTAAGGGAGAGTAATAGAATGAGAGCCACACATGACATGTCAGTCCCTTGTTTATTTTAGCATTGGAAGACACTCAGATACTACAGTGATGAGAATGGCAGAAGATCCAGCAATGAAACTAAAGGTCTGTTTGATTTGTTATAAATCTTATCAGCGGTCTGCAAGTCCCACTGTCAATATCTCAGAATATTGTGAAGCACCATAGTGGGTCATGAAGTATTGCACCAGTTTCCCCTCTCACATTGTTTGCACAAGCACTAGAATAATGCAGAACTGTGAAGTGGCATTGTTGTTGGATTTCTTTAGCTTGGATGGCAAGTAAAACAGAACTAGGGTTCCCCCCCCCCACCGTTGGGTAAGAACCAGAAAACAGATTGTGTTGCTGGGTTGGAGGTTGTTTTACGAGGCTAGATGATGAAATCCTTCCTCCTACTAGTCAAAATGCTCTTCTGTAGCCATTTACTGAAGCAGCAATGTTCAGGTCAAAGGCTTGAGAAACTTACTCACCAATGGCAAGTAGGACAGTTTTTCTGGAAATTTGCCAATTATCTTCTGCAGAATTTGAGGGGTTTTTTTTTTTAAAGTTTAAAGAAGCTAGAGAGCTTTCTAGCTTCGTGGCTACAATGGGAAACCTTAAAGTACGACCAGCTGTCTTCTGAAAATACAAACACAAAGCCTCGAGCAGTGCATCAGCATAACCTGCCTCCCGCTAGCTCAGTGTACTCTTCACTTTGAAGCCTGTCACGCCCCCAAGCCTTGTCTATACACAGAAGATTCACTGGTTTCACTTAAAAAAAAAAGTTAAAAACCACTGGGAATATCTGTGTACTGATTTAAAATTGGTCATACTTATTTAGCATGGGCCTGTAAATGTACCAACATAAGCTACATTGATCCCTATTCACACAGGGATGGATGGTTAGTATAATAGGCCAGGAGAGACCTAACCTCCACTAAGCCAAGCCCTGGCCGTGCCCATACTCCATCCTCTCCCCCAACTGATGCCCAACTCAGTTCTGGGGGTAGCGCTAAAGCTGCCCTGGTCCTGGGAACCGATGCTGGGGATGGCCCAGTGCCCACAGAGCTGGTAGATGGGGATTTGGGAGGAGGCGTTCAGGGTTCCAGCAGATGGGGGTTTGGGGCAGGAGGATCACACATTGCCCATGCACACATGGTCTTGAAGCAGTTTAAAGTCCCCCTTTAATTAAACTGATGCAAAATTCCTATGATCCAGTTCTTTAGCCACTTAGATCAGTGTAAGACAAGAATATCTCCACTGAAGATAGTTACGTGGCTTTAAAATAGGCGTGTGAGGGAAGAATCGAGTTTATGGACCAGGTCATCAGCTGATATAAATCAGCATAACTCGATGATTGATTTATTGTACCAGCGGAGGTGCTGCCCCTTTATGTGGAACTTCTGTGCGGTTTTCTGCTCTCTCTTCCCCCCCAGCCTAGCCATCTACAGGCTTTGAAAACTGACAACAGACAGGATTTGTCTCCAGTGTAGTGACCCATTGGACGATGTGTTGTTGAGGGCTGCCCTTGGTGAACAACTTTGCTTCGCTCTGTTACCAAGAACAACCTCTTGGTAAAGAGGAGAGTAGCTCTGAGGGCTGAAGCTTTTAGCCATCAGTGCAACTTGAATAACATCTCAAAATAATGGACAGTGGCCTGGTTCATGAAAACTCACAGCTTTAGACTGGGCAGCAGTAGGATCCATGCAGCAGTGAATAGTGTAACATTTATATATATTAATATATTTGACGTTTCTTTTGTAAAAAGGTTGCTACAATGTGAATTTTTATATCCTTTACGATTTTACTAGTACACCCGAGGGCCATAGTCAGAGGTGAGGCCATGAAGTCCAAATTGGTAGAACTTACATTTTCTTTCAGCTCTTGAATTACGTTGTATTTGAGTTGGATGAAACGGTCACAAAGTGGTTAACAAAACAGGGTTGTACATGTAGGAAGGGTTTTGGAGAAACACTCAGCATTGGCTTAACTCTGTTTCCATTGACATCAAAGGATCGTTTCAATGGCAATGAAGTTGGCCAGACATTTTTCCAAAATCCCACCAAAAAGATAGACACACATTACACACTATTACACGTCACCTCTGAACTCTCCCACCCTTGCTGCATTTCAATACTGGACAAGTGGATTTCTGCCCCGCATCTCATTACTGTTTCTCATTGATTCCAAAAAATCAAAATTTTGGTGCAAGAACAGAATTTGGTCCAGATTTTCAGGAGCGAGGACTGCTCTCCGATGCTCCAGCGTGCTCTCGTTGGCAGCAAAGGCCTGGTCTGGCAGCACGACAGTGGCTGGTATGGAAAGATACTGCCTGCCTAATCTTGCCACGGCGGGGAAGCGGTGCTCATTGGTTTTCCACCAGTCTAGCGGATTGGTGCTGCGTTTGCAGAGAGGCTCCACAATGTAGTTTTCCAGCTGCTGATGGATTTCTGGCATGCTCTCCGTTGGGTCTTTCCCCAAAAGGATGTCATACATGCTCTGGAACTGGCCACTTGGGCCTCTGTCTTTATGAGCCGACATCTGGCTCCCTGCTTCTCCTACCTCCGCTTTGTAATCTGAGTTTGGCACCCAGAACTGAGTAGAAGATGGGGACTGGTGGTTGAAGACCTGCGACAGCATATTCTTGACTCTCTTATGCAGCTCACTCCTCAGGCTGGGGCTCAGGAACCTCATCTCCTTGAAACGGGGGTCTAGAAATGAGGCAATAATCGCAGGGCTTTCCAGCACCTTCTCGTCCTCCGATATACTCCAGCGCTGCATCAGCTCTGACCTGATGTTGCCCACCACCATCTTGATGACATCACTGGACTCTTCCAACTGCTGCCCAATGGCAGCGACGATACCGTGGATGCACGGCATCAGGGAAGAGATGGAGATGTTCTGCTCCTCGCGCAAGAACGATGTGGCGATCTTAATCGTTCTCATGACTGGCACCAGGTCCTGCAAGAGCTTCCATTGGTGGTCAGCCAAGTTCTGCACAGCCAGTGTCCCTTTGGGATGTTCCTCCAGCAAGGACATGATTGCCCATTTGAGGTCCAGGAGGCTCTCGCACATCTCGATGGTAGTTATCCAGCGAGACCCCACATCCATCACCAGCTTCAACTTAGTTTTGTTGATCGCTTCCAACTTGCTGTTCAGCGAGCAGGTGGCTTTTGCGTCCTGTTGGAAGTAGCTCACAATGCCCCGGGCTGCAGTCAGAGTCTCTTGCACCTGTTCAATCTCCAGCCCTGCCTTGATGCACAAGTGCAGTATGTGGGCAGCACAGCACAGGCTGGGCCAGCCATAAACACTAGCAGGTGGCTTTTGCGTCCTGTTGGAAGTAGCTCACAATGCCCCGGGCTGCAGTCAGAGTCTCTTGCACCTGTTCAATCTCCAGCCCTGCCTTGATGCACAAGTGCAGTATGTGGGCAGCACAGCACAGGCTGCCCCAGCCATAAACCCTCTTGAGCTGCTGCGAATTCATCATTGTGTTCTGCAGGGTGTCATGCATCACACAGAAAATGGACTTATTTGATAGCCCAAACTCGGACAGGATGCTGTAGAGCTTCTCTCCTAAATCACCCTCTCCTTTAGTCTCGTGCACTAGCAGGGTTTCCAGGGTACATCTTGCCCGGCGCCACTCTCCATCAATGAAGTTGGCCGTGATTGTCAAGTATGTCTGGTTGGGCTGGGACACCCAGAACTCCACACAGATGACTATGGATTGGGCTGTTTGCAAATAGCGCTCCAGGTGCTGCTTCACCACATTGTATCTATGCCACAGCATGCTGGAGAGCTGAATAGGAGATGGGAGGGTAAAATTAGGCTCTAGATACCCAATGAGGAGGCCAAACCCCTTGTCTTTCACCACAGAAAGAGGGTGGAGGTCACGGAATATCATTTCAAGCACCAATTCCAGAATCACATCAGTCCTCGGTTCCGAGCAGGATGCAGCATGGTACATGTAGTTTTCTGGTGTCATCTGCCGGGACCTCTTTATCATGTTCTCCTGAGCCACGTAGTCAGACTCAGAAGCCTGGTCATCCTTCAGCTGCGACAGCAAAGTGTCACGAATGCTGTGCTTTCTCACCAAGTGCTCCCGCATGGTGGTGGTGCTGTTGTGGAAGGAGAGCTGCTTCTTGCACACGTTGCACTCGACATAGGCATCTCCCAGCTTGGTGTAGTAGTTCCACACCTTGGACTTGCGGCGGTCCACGTAAAGGGAGGTGTTTGTGCCGTCGTGATTCGCACCTTTCTCTCTCTTCCTCCTGGCGGCAGGGCCGAGATTGGTTGCCACGCTGTAGGTGTTGAACACCATTGATATTTCCTCTGGGGGGAGGAGAAAAGCCAAAGTCGCTATTAATATAATCCAAAAACTTGTACTAGCCCCCTCCCAACCTCTGAAAGCATGGTCATTTCATGACTGCATAGAGAGTCAGGCCAGAAGGAGCTGCCTACTCTGATCTCCTTTACATCACAGACTATAAATGTCACCCAAATACCCCTGTGTTGAGACCAGTTACTTCAATTAGAACAAAGCGTTTCATCTTCCGGCCTTAAAACTGTGCCACAGGCAGAGAACATGAGAGCCCAGGGTGCCATCAACACCAGAGCCTCATGCAAAAGTAGGGAATTGATAAAGTGAGATGTGTCCAGTTGATCTCAGCAGGCAAACCATGCCTCAAGCTGCCGAGGAACACAAATAAGGGACAGGGACGGTAGAGCTGTAGGAAAGGGATCAATATTGAGCATGCTGGGAGACCAGTAGTACGTGTGTAAGTTCAGGAGTTGGTGTGGAAGCTGTCTGGTTCAGCCAACCTTCCCGAGCTTCTTGGTGCCATGTGGAACTAAGTTCCTCCTGAAAGTTGGTCTGCTCAGCATACTGCCCAGCAGCATGCAGAAATTAGTTGTACATGTTTGGTTTTAGTTATGAAGCTCTAATAGTACCATTTGGGTCCCACTTTATATAACAGGGATGCATTTATAAATACTTTATACCGGTTTCATTGATGTTAAAAGCATGCCACAGACATGAATGGCTCCTAACATATAGAGGTGGTTATGAATAACCTGTTGGCTTGTGAGATTCTTTAACAAATGGTTAATCAACTATTATAACATCTATTCATCTTTTGGAAACTACTTTAAAATGTTCCCTTCCTGTGAAGTGTGACCATTATTTATACAGCTCCATACACGGGGACCTGGCTCTTCATAGCCAAGCCTGAAGCAGATAACAACCTAATGGCATTGCTGTATAATTAATTATCACAAAGAGGCCAGCGAAATGCACGTACCTTGCACTGTCTGAGGGTATGTCTGAGTGATGACAGGCATAGGCGGCTCTTCTATTATCTCCTCTTTGGGCTGTGCGTCCCCTCCGCTGTCCTCCGGCTTAATACATTTCTGCAAGAACTGAGCTGCCCTCTTGGAGTTTACATCTGCCATTTCGCTCTTAAGGGGGGAAACACAATGATCAATCATTAGAACAACAAGGGACAGGGCCCTTCACTGCTGCCTTAGGCAAGTAAGCGGGTGGCTGGCGCGGGGGCCAGATTCTGTTCTTGGCTCCACAGGATTTACAGTGCTGTAAGTGAGATCAGTATCTGGCCCCGGTCCTTCTCTCCTATGGTAATAATTAGTGCTAACGTAGCCCCCGGCAGCCATGAATTTGCAAAGCAAGTCAATATTGCCTCCGTTGTACAGTAAACATTTCCGCCAGTGTATTTGTAGATCTCCAGGTCACTGCACTCATCTAGCTGGAGCTACTGCATAGCACAGGGCATGGAGTTTCGCCCAGTAATTCCTGCAGTGGAGGAAATTGCTCTCCCTTATGCAGTCTGTTCTGTGTAGGTGCTCCCATATCTCCGTGAACCCAAGAAAATGGAACAGTCCTATAAACAGGTGCATAGCAGGGCTAGACATGGGTGTGTCCAAGGAAAACCTCTGTAAGAGATCTGACCGTTGGGCAGGGTTTCCTGCATTGGCAAAGGATTCTGATTTCCTAGCACTGAATAGTGCACTGTGAAGTACTGACTTCTAAATCTCCTTTACCTCCCTCCTTCCGTCATATTCAAAAGCTAAGCCCAGCATTCTGCCTATGTCAGTATCAGAAGGGATGCTTACAGAAGCAGCTTATTTTAACAGGTGATCTTTTACGCAGCTGATATCTACAACTGCACTGCAGCGTTCCAAGCAAGGAGGAGGGGCCATCTGGCAAAGACCAACAAGCCTCGAAGGCATCATAAATCATGAATGTAAATATTATTTGGACAGAAAGCTCTGCAATCAGGACTCTACGGTGTCACCTATAAAACGCTTGGATACATGCACTCCAAATAGTGCAGAAGATTTCACAGGAAAGCTGTATGTCAAATGATGTGGCATTTCCTGGGTGGCTAGAAATACCTATTTATTATTTTATAATCACGAGATCTCTTGACGACATTAGATACCATGGTGATGGAGGCTATATAAAAACCTAAGCTAGCTAGGTCATCTTTGACAGCAAGAAGCAAAGGGAGCAAGACATATTTTCAAACGAAAATTGCAGTCTCTGCATGGTTTGCACCTGTTTCAGCATGCTTGACATGAGAGTCTTTTAAAAGTCCAAGCCAGGCTTATCTCTTATGCTAATGCCTCCTCGTTTCTTCCTGCCCTCTGCTGCTATTCATTACTGCAATTGCCTCATTTAACTCTGCAAAGCCTTACGAGGAGGGGAGGACATGCCGTTTGCACGGAAGGTGCTGCACAATGCATCGAGAGTTGCGTTGTATTGTTAAAGGAGCGCTGGATGACCGTGGAAATAACCAAAGTGGTGACGTCACTTTTAAAAACCTCCAGCTGGTCATATGCAGAGGCTGTGGTCAAAGAAGCCCTGCCTGGAAAATAATCTCAAGATTAATTTGCTATAAGAATCACTGTTTTACCTCCCCTGCTTTAAAACACTTGTAAATTTTAGGTATTGTGTTCAGCACAGAAAAATACCCTAGAGTGCATAGAGTGAAACAAGACTTAGACAAATGAAGAAACAAGCAGGCATATGATAGTGTATACTCACTGCTTTGTTACCATGGGCATAATACGGGCTGGTGGGTTGTTTGCAGTCTCTGAGCTCTGTGCAGTGAAATGGGATACCTAACCTTTCATCTGGAAGTAATTCATTTAGGGCTCCTCTCAAAAGTTCACACTGGGATGAAAAGTGATCTGAACTTAAATGGATGTAGTCTTTGATGGCAACGAAGCTGCAGGCACATCGGAGCACAGATGCATACAAACTTATGCTTGTGTACAAACAGGGTAGGGGGGGGTCTTATGGTTCATATTTATAATAATACCTCTGCATCTTCAATGTATAAAATAATCCAATTAATCATCAATGATTTCAACATCAAGGAATAAAATTCTGTCCTTGGCTAGCTAGTTAATAAGACACAAATTTTAACGTGTGGATAATTAGCCATTGGGGGAAAAAAACTTCCAAATGGAGAAGTGGTGCTTCTTCAAATGCAGGTCCCTAGGTATATTTGACACGGGAGTACACATGCATGCCATAATGCGTGCCTAGGCGGGAACGGGGTACAGGGAGGGCTACCCAGAGGAGCAGGGAGGAGACATGAGGGAGCACCCTATTTATCAATCAACATTTTGGCAGGGGCACGGGACGGCAGTGCACCTCCTGGGTGCTGCCACGAGTCACCTGTGCACATCATGACCCCGAAACCGGAGAGTTCGAGCAAGTTAATGTGTCCGTTGCTCCGCACCTGTGCACTTGTCCTCCTTGAACTAAGGTAATTAGGGGATCAGCACCTCTCCAGGTCCTTCTTATCGCCACATAGTCTGGGATGGAATCCTCTGAGCCTAGAACTGCCTGTGTCGTTGTCTTCAGAAGCTGTAAATATAATTGTACACAGTTTTTGGTATTAGTGTTGTTAGAGCTTTATCATTATAGCATAGTTAGTATGGCTTAGTCTTCTCCCCACCGACAAAGACTGTGTCCAAAGTCCTGGGGTATAAGAACCTATCTTATATCTCCTGTCCCTGCTCCTCCGGGAGCACAGCTTCTGTTGCCTTGAAGAGGTCGCATCTCTGCTCAGTACCTCTGATGCTCTCTCCCTTCTCCCTCCCAAGCCTGCCATGGATAAGAATTCTGACTGAAGAAATACTTTATGGAGACCTCAGTTGGACCCAAGTCAGGGTGACCCGCCCGCCCTTTCCCTGCCATACAATAGCCTCCATTGACGAGCAAGGCACAAGCTCGGGCAAAGGCCAGAGCTGCTAAGTCCAAGGACTCATGAACAGGAATCCCTGCTATTTCAGACTATCTCTTGACCCTGAAGACATCAGGACTTTCTGTTAGGTCACTGCGAGTCCATAGCAGCAATAGAAGACTACTGCATTTTACAAACCCACCAACCACTGGATCCCTCAAAGGTCTCGTTGGGACATTCCTAGTGGTGACGAAACCTACATCACAATAGGACGCAACTTCATACTCTCTGTACACTCTAGATCAGCCGTTAAACCACTAGCTATGTATTCAGTGTCCTGCCTCTCCATGCAGATTACCATCCCTGTCAGCCAGAGCCAGCAGGCCCTCGTGGCTTACCCACCATCATTTTTCACAAGAAGGGGTTCTCCTCAGCTGCACCTGAAATTCATCCCCAAGCTAATTTTTGAATGTCATATGAATCAACGTATTCTTTCCAAATTTTCATGCCTCCAACGAGGAGAGGAGAGACTTCATTCTCTTGATGTCAGACAGGTTTGGGCATTTTATCTGCAAAGAACAAAGCTGATTAGGACATTACCTGGGTGATTTGTTGCTATAGTGGAGTGATTGCAAGGACAGACATCTGGTCAGTGACACTAGTTAAGTGGATTTCTGGCTGCATCATTCTTTGTTAGCAGTTGCCACATATTCCTCCCCTGCATTCTGCATTGGTCCAGGCCTCCGCTGCAGTTGGGACAGCAGCATTACACATGTCTATTCCTAACGCCTCCATTGTGTTCGAGTACCGCTTACCAGTCATCCACGTGTGGAATACACAAAGGGTACATCTACACTGCAGCGCTATTTCGGGATACTTCCGGTATCCCGAAATAGCTATTCCACGTCTTGACAGTGCACCTGATATTTCAAATTAGTTTCAAAATAACGGGCGCGCTATTCCGATGTCCTTGTAAGCCTCTTTCCATGAGGATTAAGGGACATTTCGGAATAGCAGTTTATTTTGAAATTTGGCACTGTGTAGACAGTACCAAATTACAAAATAAGCTATTTTGAAATACACTCGAAATAAGCTATGCAATTCATGTAGAGCAAATTGCATAGCTTATTTCGAGCTAAGGGTGCGGTGTAGACGCACCCATAGGGACCAGCACTCGAAGAAGAAATGGAACTTACCTATAATGAGAGTTTCTTCAAGCTGTGTGGACCCTATCTGTATTTCACGACCTGCCCTCCTATCCCTCTTCTTTGGCTCGTCCCAAGTTGCAGTAAGAAGGGGAATTGGAGAGGTGTCAGTCTGCACTGCTCCTTATGCCGTCCGGTCAGAGCATGAGGAGGAGAACTGTGGAAGTCCAACAGTCACTAATTACTAGAAATCTGTCTCATGCAGATCATGTGGAATATAGATAGATACCACACATCTCAAAGGACTGCCAGTTACGGGTCAGTAACCTCCATGTTCTCCATCTTGTGAAGTCTTCACATCCACACTTGATGACTTTTCTGGAAGAGAGGCTTTAGCCAAACACACATTTGTGGGCTCAGTACAGGAATAGCTGCATCAAAATCTGTGGCCTGTGTTATTCAGGAAGTTGGACTAGATGATCAAAAGGTCCCTTCTTAAAATCTGTGAGTCTCTGAAACCCAGAATTTGGCTTTAGCTAATTAATTCAGCACATGCTACTTTAATTAAATATCCCTTTATGCAGCTGTGGTCCACTGGGCAAGGCTCAAGACTTAAAGGCAGGATCACTGAGACCGTGCAAAGTCCCATCAAATCCATGGTGTGTCCTGTAAGTGCAATAATTCCTTAGGCTTTTGTGGTGTCAACCCAATTGTAGGAGTGCGGTCCAACCTGTTATATCAATCAAATAATACAGCAACTGAAGAATGGGAGTTGCCAAGTGACTGCAACTCACAGTGACATCACTGAGAACTGATCGCGCCCAGCTCTCTGCAGGGTATTTAGGGATAATCTTTCCTGCAGCTGTGTGCATTAAAAAAAAAAAGCAACCTGCAGTCCTATCAGAAGGGGTCAGGCAGTGCATAGTACAAGAGCACAGTGTGGCATTGTACATTCATGATGCATATAAAAAATAACAGGCTGCATCATGATTTTGCTTTTTAAGCAGAAGTCAGCCTGATGGGGACATGGTCTAATAATATTAGAATGAATAGAAGCTCCGTTTTCTGCCTGCAGCTCCAGTGCCAAAGGATTTGGAATTAGACGTTCAACGTAGTGATGCACAATAGCCCCAAGATGTGAGATTTCTGGTGAGAAGGGATCTGACTTGGGACTCAGATCTAGTTCCATTGTTGATTCTGCAGCCCACTCCCAATGTCACTTTGCATTCTAGGCCTCAGATGCCCATGTGTGATAGGAGGTTATAAGCCTCTAGATTATAAACTTTTGGGGGCAGGGACTGATTCTTATTTTGTGTCTGTGCAACACCTGGCATGACGGGGTCCTAATCTTGGTTGAAGCCTATAAGTGCCACTCTAATACAAATAACAATGGGCTGGAAAGCTGGGCAGCAACATTTAATACAACAGCAGAGGACCAAAAATGTAGAATGAAAGAGCTCATCCCCATAGTTTCTGTTTGCTGCTGCTGTACAATCCTTATTAATACAGTACTATACATCTTTAAAGAATTCACTTGGTGTTCCTTTTAGATTTACCCAGGCATTGCACAGTAATGTTTAGTCATTGTGAATTTCTGTCAGGATGTTTTTTTAATAACTGCATTTATTTTATA